TGTATAACGTCCTTTGCACAGCGCCTAGTATGCCCTCTGTTCATATTAACTATTACTAGGATCAGCTGTATGATCTTGGCCAGGCCACTTAGCACCCCTGAATCTCATTTAACTCATATGTGAATTAGAGGAAGAATACCTACCTTGCAGGGTTATTGTGAGTCTTAAATGAAACCTAATATCCTCAGAAAATTCCAAGTACTATACAAATTTAAGCCTTTACTACTTTAACTCACAAACATGTGATTGATTATTCTTCATTAAGCTGCTAATAGTGGACCACAAATCTTATGAAGCAACACTATAAGCCATGCTTCCTTAAAAATCTTCTTGTTTAAAAGAAAAAGTTGAGTAAGAATTACTAAGACCAAAGAAATTTAAAAATCCATAAAATACCCTTATTCTTCATTTCTATTTTTTATAAACATAAAATGGTTATTATAAAATTAATTTACATAGATTACCTTCTGGTAGCTCTTTCTTTTAGCATAACCTGAGTCATGCATTTTGTTTTAAATACCCAGAGGGGAATTCTGCTCTGTAGAGTCACAGAAGTTCCCTATGTCATATTACAACCTGCTTCTGAGCAACAGCAGCAATGCTATCTCTGACTGGCATTCTGCTCCCCAAATCTATTGAAATAGAAGGTTTAAGCACCACAGAATTCCTGATAACAGAACTTGCAGTATCTTTAAGGCTGTTACAAAAGAAATTTAGCTGAGGGAACTCTCCTGATTTGCCACACAAAAAATATAAAAACCAAGTATGAAAGTAAAGATATATTAAAGTAATTAGAAACCATTAAATTGATAAGAAATACTTTTGTTTCTAAGTGGTGAGGATCTGAGGAGTAGGGGTCAAGATCTCCTTATTAACTTGGCCAGAAATGAAAGCATAATTTCTGTTGGTCAACAAAACAGGTGTCAATCACCAAAACTGCATTTTGCTTGAAAACAAATAGGAAGCATTTTTCTGGATAGCTTTCATCTAAATAAAAGGTAGCAACCTGCCCACAGTTCTAGGACGGGTTCTGTTTCTTACTCTCACTTTTCTAATAAAATATTGAATAAGAAGCTACAATCTTTCCTAATTCTTAAACTTGCCAACCACTGCAAGTGATGCAGTGTGGCACAGGGCTTCCTGTAATACCTGATCCTGCCACATTAACCAATCTAGAAAACAGGAATGGTAACTTTACACGATTATTCCTTTAAGAATTCCGCTAAACAGAAATCATCTAAGGCTTTTTACTAAAAGATTTGCTTTTTATTTTCTATTTCTTTGATACTTTTCCCACTCAAGTACTTTCTTGGTTTAGTCTTTCGCTCATTTTTTCCCCAATGTGGCTGTAATATATTTCTGGGACTCTTTAACGCGTTTCTAGAATATAAAAAATGTTCCATAATAGTTTGCTTTCTTTTTCTGCTTCATAATGGTCTCATTTCTGTGATGTCAAAGCCTTATACCTTTTCCCTGACTCCCATTTCAAATATAGAAGGAGAAAGTACGTATATAAAACAAAAACATTGAACAAGCTAAAGAAAAACCCAAAAAGGTAGGAAACATTCTGCAATATCTGCAACTCCTTCAGAAAGTGGAAAATAGAACGAAATTTACGACCAATGAACTGAAAGTGCCAATTTCCAAAAATAGCTAACATATTTTACCAAGACAATTGGTGAATGGCCTCTTAACGATAATTTTTTCTATAAATAAAAGTATTGAAAACCAATAGTAAATGCTGAAGAATATACTATACTATTTTCCTCTTTCAACTGCTCTTTTCCTAAAGAGACTGTAAGTTTTTTAATGGAATGAATTTATAGTCCATATTTTTTCCCTTTCTTTCATTATTTGTAACTTTTTCACCTTTCTTAAATCTTTCTCATGCTAGCAGACTCAGATTAGATATGATCTCCTTCAGTAGGCCTTCCCTGACATCCAAGTTGGGTTAAAACTTGATATTTATGTTTTCACAATACCTGGCAGTACTCACCCCCATTACATTATCTGTTTCCTGAACCTGTTCTCCTACTCTAAGGTAGGACTTAATCTCAGTCATCTTTTTATTCCCAGAAACAACACTGACAAAATACTGTGTACGGAGTATGTATTTGTTGGATGCCATCAAGAAAGTCTTAAGACATAGACAAGTACAATGTGACCACGTAACAACTGCTAGTCTTTCTCCTGCCTCCACACCATCACAGATGCTGTATATCCTGAGTGAACGGCTATCTCTCCCATGGCCCAGCTAATTCCCTGTCCCTTTTAAAGTCTCAGCTGTCATTTTCTCTAGGACTGCTGAACTAGTAAGCCGGAGTTAGGAGCCTAGTCTATGGCCTCCTTTATCTAATTTTCTTTATTATAGGGCTCTCCTTCAGTGAACTCTTTGCTTGTCCAAATTCTCCAATTAACTATGCTGCATGAGAAGAATAAGAAAGAATATATTGTCTCTACTGAATCCCTGAAACACTGAACATTAAGGTTGGTGATCAAGAAATAACTGATACATCTATGGTCTTGATGGTTTTATAGGTAAATACTTGTCCCCAGACTCATTGAGTTGTATACATTAAATATGCACAGTTTCTTACATACTATATTTCAATAACATTGTTTTAAAAATTCATAAATATCCTTTATCTGTCAAGATCAATTAACAAACATTCAGAATGAATACACAAAGCAATGGAGAAATATAATCTCATTGTCATATTGAAATTTGCTGGATTAAAAATTACACCAATACTGCATTCTCATTTTCAGTTTTTTGCATTATAGAAAAAGAAGAGTAGACAAATGTGAAGACCTTATTTTACACTGAATTTATTTCAGTAATAATATTTTAGAAATTCTTTTCACTTAATTTATTCTAGTAATAATCTTTTAGAAGTTCTATCACCTAGCTGAAATTCAGCAGTTGTTTTATCAAATACACAGTAATTGAAAGTTTATTCAGGAAGGGTTGTTTTAGGATGTGTATCATGTATGAACTTCTTAACTATACTTACATTTCACAAATTATACTACTTTAAAATTGCTTATTTCTGATTTTATGTTTTAATACTTGATTTTCTCAGCCACCTGCTTCAAATTTTCTGGAGTTTGAGGAGGTTTTGATCACTTTTCGAGTTTTCTTCTTTCTAGAAAATCCCTTTGCCTTGCTGCTCTGGCTCAGTTCTCTTTTAAAATTTCTAATAATCCCTCTCTGTGTCCTCTACTGGCTCTCTTCTTCCTATTAACTGAGACTTTAGTCTTTTGCTTCACATCTTCCCCTCACTGTCTCAGTGATTCTGCCTTCTTCCGTGAAATGCATTTATGAGCTGTTTTGTTAACAACTTGTAAATGCGTATCCTTAATGTGTATCCTTAATCTAAATAACTTCTCTTAGCCCACATTTCTAACCAGGTATTCCACTGATACTTCTTATCAATACACAGAGTTAAACTCATTTACTTCTGAATTTTTTTTAATTCTTTAGGTTGAATCACATCATTCATTGTCATCCAAGCTCAGACCTCAGAGCCATATTTTACTGTCCTGATCTCATCATAAAGCAGCTACCAATTTCTGCTGTACTACTCCTCTAGTATAGCTCATGTCTGCCTCTGCATCCTATTTCCATCATCATCATCTTCCTTTAGAATCTTGTTATTTGCCTGGAGTCAACCAACTACATAACCACCTCCCAACAGTTTTCTCTACCACTATCTCTGTAGTGCTCCAATCTATCCGACTTCCAACAGTGCATGAGCTATGTATAAGGCCTCTCTGCCTGACCTTCCAACCTGGCATAGCAAGTTTCATCTAAACTTGAGGGTGAGAGACAGAAGAAATGAGAAAGAATTTATCTTATTCCAAACAGGTAGCACAATAGATGGAAAAAATAAAACCTCTGTATTATAGAAATGTTATCATGCCACTCTCTTGTATAAAGAGCTTTCATGTATTCATTGTCTAGAGGATACAGCTCCGACCCCTGGGTATGCCTTGGCTCTTGTATGCCGCCTTCCTCCTCCTCTCCTCGCTTGTGGCCAGGCACTCTGGGATCCAGCTGTATGGCACCACTTGCTGCCTTTAATAATGGGCTTATACACATATCACTCCCTTTGCATACGGTCTCTCTTTTATTATTTGTATGCCTATTTATCCCTCAAGATTAAGTTCAGAAACTTCTTCTACCCATTCTGAATTAGCTGCTCTTAAGATAAGGCTTAATTCTGTCATTAACACTTACTACATCTGTCTGTTTCTCTGTACCTCCCTCACTCTATGGTAAGCTCTTTCAAGTCAGAAACCCATCTTTTTTTATTACCCGGGGTCTACCACAGTACTTGTAGTTCATACATTTTGGTGAATATACTTTTTTTCTTGTATTGATTATGCAACCAACCACCTATATGTCCTTGGACAAACTATTTAACTGACTGGATGTAATTTTCCATTTTAGGCCTGTTGGCTTCTATGCTGTGCTACATTCAAACCAGAAAACTTGAATTTTCTAATGATTATATTTTTTCCAATGTCATTTCTAACTTTAACTTGTTGGAATTATTTTTTAATACATCGGTGTCATATACCATTATCTAATTTCCCACAACTGATTTTCAGCCTTATATTACTTTGTAAGACTTCATCATAATTAGAATCATATTTTGCCAAATATTAGAGTTAGTCACCTATTCACCTTATTCCATATACTATGACATAAAATGCTTTGCAGTATGAACCATGTTTTCTATTTGTTTTTCTGACTCTCGTAAATAACACTGTCCCTAGAACACAGATTTTAAAACTCTGTGTTAATGAAAATGTGTGTTACAATGAATACTAGGGCACATTGCAACAGAATTTGGATAGCAAAGCTGGGAGTCTGAGCAGAAGAATCTTTACCACATTGAGCAATATCTTCTTTTATAACCTCTATAATTTTGAGATGCAATGTTCCTATTTACCTGTAATTCTTTCCTTCAGCCCTAACCCTTTCATCAACTTACTTTATATTCTCATTTGCAGGTACTTCAGGCAGTTGCACAGTAATCATGCCATCCAAGTTGGTCTTCCCAATGAAGGCAGGCTTGGTACGTAATACATCGGGCGCAGTCTTTGCTGTGACCCTGTGCTGCAGCCCACCAGCGCTGTTTCCACGATTTGTCAGCACGAATGAATATGACTTCTCAGGCTTCAGGTTGACAATTAATTTCTGTGTGGCTCGGCCATCCACTTCTTCTACCATTTTCCCATCATCATAAAGAATCTAAAGAAATATAACCAATCAAAAAACTCCGGTTATCAGCGAGGCAAAATATGTTTTCTAAACCAATGTGTACTTGCTTATGGAAAATGTATATAAGGTCAACTCAAATTTTAGGTGACTTCTTAGCCCATGAGTGGCCATAATTCTGGAGATCGCATCGGTTTTCCTGTCACTTCCTACTGCATAATGATAAAATGTTTCTAAGTCTATCAAAAACATACAAAGATATATATAATAACTTTTCAATTTTAGATCTCTCAGTTGTATGTGATCTTAATGGAATATGTGCAGAAAAGCTCTATGTAATATCAATATTGCTTATTTTCTTCAACGTCTTCAATGTATTATCAATATGGCTTACTTTCTAAAGGTTTCGGTTCCTCTTTCTAAATATTTTTATTAATTAATTAATTAATTAATTAATTAATTTGAGATGGAGTTTCACTCTTGTCACCCAGGCTGGAGCGCAATGGTGTAATCTCAGCTCTCTGCAACCTCTGTCTCCTGGGTTCAAGCAATTCTCCTGCCTCAGCCTCCTGAGTAGCTGAGATTATAGGCATGTCCCACCACACCTGGCTAAGTTTTGTATTTTTAGTAGAGACAGGGTTTCACATGTTGGCCAGGCTGGTCTCAAACTCCTGCCCTCAGATGATTCACCCAACTCGGCCTCCCAAAGTGCTGGGATTACAGGCATAAGCCACCACTTCCAGTTTATATTTTTTACCTTCAAAAATGTTTCTCCATTTCTTATTTCATAAATATATACTTGCTAACATCTCTTAATGGCAAACCAAAGTTTGAAATGTGCCAAGAATTCAGGCCAATTAACAAATTCAGAAACTCTCAGAGTATTGTAATATAAATAGGTAGAAATCATGTAAATTTCATTCTCTGGCTGAAAAAGAAAAGCACTAGCTTAGATGTAAAAGGTTCAGGTTCAAAGTAGTAGGTAAACTAGAAGTGATGCCAGCCCTGGATTTAAGTTCCTGCTCCCTCTTCAGAGTGAAAAAGGACACACTTGAAAAATACCAAACTGTCTCCCAGGTGAAAGTCACAAATGAGAATAGTAAGGACCATGGTGAAATCCCGTTTCTACTAAAAATACAAAAAAATTAGCCGGGTATAGTGGCATGTGCCTGTAGTCCCCAGCTACTCCGGAGGCTCAGTCTCAAAAAAAAAAAAAAAAAAAAAAAAAAAAAAAAGGAGAGAGAGAGAGAGAGAATAGTAAGGACATGGACATGTGGCCAAAACCAAGTGGTCTGCTTGCTCTGCAAATAACTTACCCAAATAAACTGTCCCCTCTACTTTTATCTGTGATCTCTTACAAATTAGAAAACAACTTACTTTGAAAGGCATGGCGGAGTTATAATTCTCTGGAATCTCCCAAGACAGCAACACAGAAGTCTTCATTACTGCTTTGACATGAAAATTTTTTGCAAACACTGCTGGAAAAGGAAAAACAGTGTATTTAAACTATTCTTAAAACATACGACCTGTCCTTTTCCACCATGGACCACAGGGCTTATGCTAAATGCTGTCTACTTTGATCAGAGAGAGAAGTATGATTTTCCTACCTGTTTAGAGCATTCATTTTAATACCCCATTCTCATAAAGATCTTTCCTTTCTCTCCAATTCAGCCAACTATATTGTGTTTTCCTTACCTGAGGACATTGGGGTGCTGTCAGCCAGGCTTGCTTGACATTCTATAACTGAAATCTAAGGCATCCAAGATGTAGTAAGTTTTATATACTTTACCTTTTTGTTTTTGCTGAACCTATTAATATGAATGGGCTGATCAGTTATTATTGCCTCAAAATACTGATTTCCAAAGACTGACATTCCTTTAAAGGAGGAAGGCCGTAAGCAGACAAATCCTACCTTGATCCACAGGCAGTGTCCTGAACTGGACACTGGGACTATATGGCCCGGGCCCTTTGCTCGTATGAGCACGTACTTTTACATCGTATGTGGTATCTGGTTTTAAGCCAGTGAGTGTCATAGTGGTGTCAGCTGGAACAATAAGCTGCTCCATTGGAAGAAGGGGGATGTTGATATCCCTATAAAGAAGGGTATACTTGGTGATAATGCCATTTCTCTCTGCCAGGACAGGTGGTTGCCAAGTTAACTGGACGGAGGTTGAAGTGGTGCCTTCTGAGTGAAGGTTTTGAGGGAATCCAGCTGGTACTTCTTCGGGAATGGAAATCTCCTTCACCATCTCCTCCCCAAAGCCCACTTTGTTTCTGGCTGAGAGCCTAAAGACGTATGATGCTCCTTTGTGGATGTCTGTAGCTGTAAAGTGATCTTCTTTTTCAGAGAACTCAAGAGTGGTAAGTGGCTCCATATCCTTGCGGCCAAATTTTAGACGGTAGCCCTGAAGAGGTCCAAATGTGTCCACGGGAGGGTGCCACTGAATGAGAGCAGTGTTCATCTGAGTGTGGTTAATCACAAGTCGAGGTTTCCCTGGAACTGGAGCACAGGGGATGGAGTGGTGAGACCAGCTCATCTGAACGTTCACATTTCAGTCACTGCCAAATGAGGAAGTTCCACTCTACTGGTATTCTCTTTTTGTTATTTACCACCAGCACCAACAAAGCAGTGTTTGACCTACATACCTCTGTGGAAATCCGCTCCTGTCTTACTATATTAAAGTAGGCTGAGATACCTGAATTTGATACTTGACACAAAACAGAAATTATCATTGCAACAACAGCTTAAGGGAACTTTTTTTAACAGCTGCACGTTTTAAACCTTCACACATAAAGGTTCATATCAAAGATAAATTACTTTGAGCAAAGATTTGCAAATTAGATATCACTGATACGAATAATAATTATAATGATTATTTATTCATTCAGTATGTGTAATGTACCGGCGCCAGGCTAAGCGCATTGCATATAGTGTTCACAATTAGTTTACATTCCTGTCTCCTCACTACATTCTCTGATTAGTTATTATTATCTCTATCTTCTATCATGAGAAAATGAGGCCTGGAGAGGTAAAAAACTGTCCTCCAAGAGAGGAGGCCAGCAGGTAACAAGTGAGAAATCTATAAGGCAAACTCAGCTCTGTGTGAGTCAATTACTTAAATGCTTAATTGTGCTGTTATATTGCTTAAAAGTTTAAAAAGAGTACAAAATAATATAGCATTGACTTACTATGAATCTAATTTGTATTTCTGGTCTAACTTTATATCCATATCACTCATCTTCATCAAGTTTTTAATTTGTAAAATGGGAATTATATTAAGATCTACTTTATATTGTTCTTGTAAATAAATGAGGAAATTCATGTAAAAGTCTTAGCATGAGGTTCTGTATTCTATTAATATTAATAATCATAATTATTAATAATCTGAATATTAAACTTTTTATGGTGAAGGGCTAGCTTCCAGTGAGTACAGAATTTATTTACCTTTAAGTTAGGTATGTGAAAAAGTTCTAACCTACTCATTCAATGCATTATATCTGTATTTATTTTTAATGGAGAGCGATTATTCCTGGAATCCACAGTGAAAGGCACTGAGGGAGAATCATCAGAATCAAAACTAAACCAAATTAACAGAAAGAAGAAGAAAGGCCAAGTATGGTGGGTCATGCCTGTAATCCCAGCACTTCAGGAGCTGAGGTGGGAGGACGGCTTGAGCCCAGGAGTTCAAAACCAGCTTGGCAACACAGCAAGACCCCATCTTTATAGGCGTGGGGGTGCCGAGAACAAGCATGGTGCCACCTGTCTGTAGTTTTAGCTATTCAGGGGGCTGAGGTGAGAGAACTGCTTGACCCAAAGAGTTTGAGGTTACAGTGAGTTATGATGGCACCCCTGCTCTTCAGCATGAGTGGCAGGGTGAAACTCTGTCTCAAAATTATGAATGTGAAGAAGAAGAAAAATGGTAGCAAAGGAGGAAAGCTTACAGTAATGTGAGACAGGTGACAAAAAAGTCATATCATGGATATACAGATTAAGGCAAAAAAAAAATCACTAAAAAGATTATGAGACAATACACAGAATACTAACCTCAGAGGTGGTCTGACTGGCCTCTTCATTTTGTATTTCAGAAAGTGAGACCCAAGTGGAGATGTGCTCCACTCTAAGAAATATCATTAAGATATTTCCTTCCTTAACCAATGGAGTAACAGTGTTGTTTCACAGGGAAGACTCATAGCATGCTTATATAACTCAGCTAATCCACAGTGTGTGAAAAGAATAGTTCCTAAAATTTTAATGGCAATTAAATAACATGTGTGTTGTGTTGTACACATGAAATGTGTGTTGAAGGTGGGTCCAGGAATCACATGATTGTGTACTCACTGTGTTCCTCAGGAAAAATGCACCCAGAGATCTTAACAAACAACTAACACTCTCACAGCACAACCCATCCATAAGTTGGATAGTGTGTGAGCGATTCCATTTGCTTTTAATATGTTTACAATTATCTTAATTTTAAAATGGTACTTTAAGGTAGAGACACTGGCAGACATCTTTAATTTCCCTTTATGTGTATGCAGCATTTGCATGATTTGTCCATGAAAATGTCAGCAATGGTGTCAAAGATTAAACACCTGAGTCTCTGTGAGAAAAATCCATGGTGAAATAGAGCTTTCAGCAGAGAATACAGCTGTCAATAAATGAACTCAATTGAAAGAAGTGGGTGGAAACATAACTATTAATTCTCAACATTCTCTAGGGACAACAGATTAAACATATTTATTAAAATTTTATGAAATTCTGGTTTCAATGAGCTGCATAATAATATATACACTATGTATCTTGTTTCTGTAAAATGCACGTAAAACTAGGCTAAATAAAAATAATTTCTTGACAGAGGATCCAAGATGGCCAAATAGGAACAGCTCCGGAGTGCAGTTCCCAGCAAGAACAACACAGAGGGCAAGTGCCCACCACATTTCCAAACAAATTTTTACTGCTCGCAGACCAGGAGATCATCAGGCCGAAAAGTGGCATGAGTTTTCAGCACAGCAGTTTCAGCCGGTGCCAGCTTGGCGCACAGAAACTCACACAAATCTGGGTGGCCGTTTCAACTGGTTCCTGGAATGCAGAGGAGACAGAGCCAGCCATTCAAGTGAAAGGGATGAGGCAGAGACAGGGAGCCATGCGATCTGGCTCAGCGGGTACCACCTCCACAAAACAAGCAATCTGAAACGCTCTGGATTGAGAATTTTGCAGCAAGCGCAGCTGGACCCAGGACAGTCCAGCTCAGAAGGGGGAAGGACGACCACCGCTACTAAGGCAGTCCGCCACGTCAGAGGCGGTTCACACAGCAGCTGGGCAGAGCCTGCAGCAGCTCAGCAACACCTCTGCTGGCAGACTGACCAGACTACTACATGAGGGGCAGCGTATCTACTGAAAAAGGCAGCAGCGTGACAGGAACTTATAAATAAAGCCGACCTTCCTAGGACAGAGCACCTGGGAAAAGAGGCGGTTATGAGTTCCTGCCCACAGCTCTGCATGGAACAATGGAGCTCCCAGCACAGAACTTGAGCTCTCATAAGGGACAGGCAGTCTCCTCAAGCAGCTCCCCGACCCCTGTATACCCAAAGAGATACCTCATAAAGGAAAGCTCAGGCCGACATCTGGCAGGTACCCTTCTGGGACGAAGATAACAGAAGAAGAAACGAGCAGCAACCCTTACTGTTCTGCAGGTGATCTCCAGGCAAGCAGGGTCTGGAGTGGACCTACAGCAGTCCTGCAGCAGAGGGGCCTGACTGTTAAAAGGAAAACTAAGAAATAGAAATAACTTCATTATCAACAAAAAGGATGTCCACTCAGAGACCCCATCCGAAAGTCAACAACTACAAAGACCACAGGGAGATAAAGCCACTAAGATGGGAAGAAACCAGCAGAAAAAGGCTGAAAACATCAAAAACCAGAACACCTCTCCTCCTCCAAAGGATCACAACTCCTCGCCAGCTAGGGATCAAAGATGCACTGAGAATGAATCTGATGAATTGACAGAAACAGACTTCAGAGGGTGGGTAACAATAAGCTTCTCAGAGCTAAAAGAACATGCGCTAACCCAATGCAAAGAAACTAAGAACCTAGAAAAAAGGTGACATGAGATGCTAACTAGAAAAAACAGCTAAGAGAAGAATATAAATGATGTCATGGAGCTGAAAAACAGAGCATGAGAACTTCACAAAGCATACACAAGATTCAATAGCCGAATCGACCAAGCAGAAGAAAGGATATCAGAGATTGAAGATCAACTCAATGAAATAAATTGAGAACGCAAGAATAGGAAAAAAGAGTGAAAAGAAAAGAACAAAGACTCCAAGAAATATGGGATTATGTGAAAAGTCCAAATATACATTTGATAGGTTTTCCTGAATGTGACAGAGATAATTAATCCAAGCTGGAAAACACTCTTCACGATATTATCCAGGAGCACTTCCCCAGCCTAACAAGCCAGGCCACCGTACAAGTTCAGGAAATACAGAGACCACCACAAAGATATTCCTCAAGAAGAGAAACTCTAAGGCACATAATCGTCAGATTCACCAGTGTTGAAATGAAGGAAAAAATGCTCAGGGCAGCCAGAGAGAAAGGTCGACTTACCCACAAAGAGAAGCCCATCAGACTCACAGTGGATCTCTGTGCAGAAATCCTACATGCCAGAAGAGAGTGGGGCCCAGTATTCAACATCCTTAAAGAAAAGAACTTTCAACCTAGAATTTCATATCCAACCAAACTAAGCATCGTAAGAGAAGGAGAAATAAAATCTTTCATGGACAAGCAATTGCTGAGAATTTCGTCACCACCAGGCCTGCCTTCCAAGAGGTCCTAAAAGAAGCACTATACAAGGAAAGGAATAACCAGTACCAGCCACTCCAAAAATGTACCAAATGGTAAAGACCATCAACACAATGAAAAAAAAATGTGTCAACTAACAGGTAAAATATCCAGCTAGCATCAAAATGGTGGATCAAATTCACACATAACAATATTAACCTTAAATGTAAATAGGCTAAATGCCCCAATCAAAAGACACAGATTGGCAAATTGGATAAAAAGTCAAGACCTATTGGTGTGCTGTATTCAGGAAACCCATCTCACATGCAAGGACAAACATAGGTTCAAAATAAAGGGATGGAGGAAGATTTATCAAGCAAATGGAGAGCAAAAAAATTCAGGAGTTGCAATCCTAGTCTCTGATAAAATGGACTTTAAACCAACAAAGATCAAAAGAGACAAAGAAAGACATTACATAATGGCAAAAGGATTAATGCAACAAGAAGAGCTAACAATCCTAAATATATAAGCATCCAATACAGGAGCACCCAGGTACATAAAACAAGTTCTTAACAACCTACAAAGAGACTTAGACTCCGACACAATAATAGTGGGAGACTTTAACACTCCACTGTCAATATTAGACAGATTAATCAGACAGAAAGTTAACAAGGATATCCAGGACTTGAACTCAGAACTGGACCAAGCGGACCTAATAGACA